TTAGCCTGAAGAAGGGTGGACATACAACAATAGGCGGAGTTATACCAACCTTGATCACAACGACTATTAAAATTTGAAAATATCAAATTATCAGAGTCGTAGACAAGACTACATGGTTTGTTTCACCTACTATTGATTGTCAAAAAAATAACCTTTCTCTTGAAATAATGTGGTATTGAAATTAAAGTTGAGTGGATAGAGGATGTATGTTCCATTTCATTAACCATGGACCTATACACATAAAGAAAAAGGATAGCTGACAATCTTTCTCTTGTGAAAGTTTTAGCTTCATTTGGTTTGTAACCGGCATTTTGACGTTTAAACAATGCAATCAACGTTGTCCTCTACTTTTATCTTCAATATTAGGTGGCGAATTCGGAAATTCTAAATCACTTCAAACACATCCATTTCTCAAAAATTCAATGAAGGTCAAGAAACCTAGCGACTTTGCACTATAAAAGACAATCGCAGTGTTTACTGTCAGTGAGCCACACATAGTAACTATGATTGTTTTATTTTCTAGTACAAAAATATACCTACAGTAAACCAAAATACAGTATACACAAGATCTTTTACAAATTACGGAAACAATTTGAATGATGGATTCACGAGTTTCATCATTCACAACATACTTAAGATGTACTTTTCCTACTCTTCTTCCATGATGTGAAAGAGAAGTGTGTGTAGTTTCTATGAGAATGGAAGAAAAAACCCTATTTTATTAGAATTCCAAACAGATGAAGTGTTCAAATGTTTACTATAGTCATTTTTCCTCGAACATAACCAGCAAACCATGTAATAGTCATTTATACACCAAGGTAGTGAAGAAAACCATTATTACCAAGGGACCAAGATTATATCCCGAGGCTTCAGCCAAGGGGATTAAGGTCCCGTGGTAATGTTATTCTTTACTACCAAGGTGTATATTGAATTTGTATCACCACATGCATCATTATCGTTCTCTAAAAGTGAAATATGGACCTATTGTCACTATGAGAGCACTTCCCTTGAATTCTAATTAAAATAATAGCCATGACTATGACAGCATATGTCAAGTATTTATTGATAAATACGTACTAGATTCGAGTCCCATTTTTTGTGAATATCGCATTAGAATAGCGAATTCGGGTTAATTATAACAGTGGTGGCTATGTCATTATTGACTAGTGGTTCATAAAATGACCGTTCAGGAATATAAAATACAGGGTGTTTCATTTAAAAAATAGTAGTTCATGTAAAATCTTAAGGTTAACGATGCTTTTTTGCATTCCGAATGCACATGAAAATTATTTCATTTCTGCCCGTTTTAACGTTTCTGTAAGACCAAAATGAACTGAGATAGCTATTGAGTAATATATAAACAATCACCCTATACACCGTTTTATTAATGATCTTCCGCTTCAATAATCACTAACCTGTCTGCCTATTGATCGTGCTATTCAACAGCGCCGTCTGCTGCGCCAAATACCCGCTCGGGTCCTCCAAGAACGACGGCCCCGCCCCGCCTTGCGCGTGCTCCACTATGACCGCCCGCCCCCCTTCCCCGGCGATCTGTCTCACGTCGACGTTCGGGCAGGCCGCGTGCCCCATGCCCGGGCAGTACGGCCTGCCCTTCGTGGCTTTCGCCGGCTTGGCGCGCTTGCGCTTCATCTCTTCCTGCCACGCGGGAGGCGGTTGTTGGTGGAGGGGAGGTACGCGTTCGCAGACGTTGGGCGGGTGTTGTTGGTGCAGCTGGATGTGTTGGTGTTGGTTGATGGTGTGCTGCATACGGTTTTGCCACTGCATTCTCTGCAATTGAGATCGAGTTTATTTGTGAGACACTCCACAAACAATAAGATTTCCACAAAATTATTGATAACACGACTATGATTTGCAAACACAGTAGCTTCTTCCCAGCAAACAGGACATAGCTAGCGATTCAATTGACCATTGGTTCAATAGATAGATAGATGAATGGATGAATGAATGTTTATTTACAGAAGGTTACAGTACATTATTTTTACAGAAGGTTACAGATAGTGTTCATGCAATAAATAGTGAAAGCTAGTTCGTTACGGAAAGAAATACAGCAGTAAATAAACAGGAGAGAGTACCCGACTAAGTTCATTTAAGAACTAGTCTTCGGGTATTACCAATCTGTTGAAGTTTACTATTGAGAATATGTGTGTGTTGAAATATTCGACTATAGTAGAGACATAAATGGAACAAATAATCAATACTAAATCTAGAAATATGATCTAATTATGTAACTGTTACCTTTAGAAAATAAGATAATTAATCTAAGATGATACCGAAACGTACAAAAGAGATAAATAATGAAATAATGAGGAGGAAGAAAATAGAAGTTATAACATTTTTCAGAAGTAGATATTTTCTAGATTGGATCAATGACATGGGATGAGAATGTTCTTTCATTAGACAATATCCAATTTTTCAGTTTGGCTCTGAATAGACGAGCCGAGTTAAGTTGTTTTAAGTCATTAGGTAATTTATTGAACAATTTTGTACCTGTATAGCGGAAATTTCTTTGACCAAGCGATTTCTGATGCGATATTGAAAAACAGCTGAACAATAACATGTATATTTAACTTTTCTCTTTCCTTTGTATTTTCAGCTTATTGAATGAATTTATATTATTATTATTATATTTTGCCTGGTACCGTAGGTATGTGGTATATTATTTGAAATATGCCTATTGGAGTGAAGGAAACAGAGACCTCTGCAACAGAAGAGTTGTCGCATGTCCATCACCTTGGCATCCATGAATAACTGGTCTGAGGGATACTTGCGAGGTTTCTTGAGTATGATTTTAATTATCCATTTTTGAATAACATCGATTGGTTTCAAATAATTTCTCCTAATACCACCCCACCCTAAAATACCATATTGAAGAATGGAATCCAACTAATTGTTCGAATCTATGAATCATACCTCTCAATTTGTTCACAATATTGCGAGCCTGAACATCCCACCTTAAGAAGGAATCAATGTAGATACCTAGATATTTCACTGAGTGTACAAGTTCAATAGCATGATTATATACGTTTATAGTATCATAATTAGATAGGAAGGGTTTGTAAGATGTGAAGGGTAGAATTTTTGTCTTCATAGCGTTGACTGTCAGTTTGTTCTCATCGAACCAATCCAAGATAGATAGATAGATTGCTTCATTCAAAGAAGTGTACTCATACATTCACAATACACAAATACAATTAAATGAACTGGCGTCGAATGATATGATGTTTGTTAACAAACGAACATCTGAGGAAGAAGGTACTGAAATCACTATCAGAAAATGAACATGGCTAATAGTATATTACACACCGAGGTGGAAAGTGATTCATTCCTGACGTGAGATTAGTTAGTTAACCGAGACACAAAGCGTCGAGGTTAGCTATAATCTCGAGACAGGAATGAAACTTCCTACCGAGGTTTGTATACTATTTTATTCACAACCACCATATTTCGATCAAAATTAATAAATCTCTGTTTCGTTCTGAACATATCTGAAATATTACATAATTGAGGGCGGGAAAAAGAGGTGTGTTATATGACACTTCCCAACCTTCAACGACGTTAGTAATGACAACATTACATATATGGTTGTAAATAAAATAATATAGTTAATGAGTAAAATGAAGACAATTGACTGATATTCAAAACACTAAAAAACGGTTGAAATCACATTTTTAGTAAGTAAAATACTGAAGCAACAAAAACAATATTGGTTGACACTGGTTGACATAAATGAAACAAGTGACCTACTGACATTGAATTAAAATATACTTGAACCAAGAAATTCATCTATGGTGTATGGTTCTTTTTCAATCAATAATTCCTGAATTGACTGTTTGAATATTTTAAGGCTTTTTATTTAAAACTTTATACACGAGTACATGGGGTTTTTTCTGTTGTGGTTAGTCTCTGAGGTGGGATATTAAAATCCATCGTTCTTGTACCATAGCATTGCTTTGATTCATAGGCTTGGAATTTCCCCCCTATTTTTGAATAGAAATACTAAACACTCATATATATAAATATCCGGGACAGTCAATATATTCATCCCTTTGAATTTTCCTCTGCATGACTGCCTGTAACTGATTCCCACCAAAATTCGTAGAGACCTCTTATTTACTACGAAAACTCGTTGTGCTTCACTTATTCCACCCCAAAGGATGATACCAAAACGCAACAGAGCGTGGAAGTTAGAGAAATATACAGTTCGCAAAGAGTTACCTTCTAAATATTTCGCTGTCACTCTGAAAGAGTGACATACCGAGCTTAGTTTGTGACAGTTCATTAATATGAGTCTCCCAATTCAGATTTTGATCAATGTGAATTCCTAAGAACTTTGTGTTATGTTCTAATTTTAAGTTTTGTGTCTGAAGATGAATGTCCTGCGGTATTTGTTTCCACACACAGTATTTTCTTCGTTTAATATTAACTGATTTCTAGTAAGCCATTCCTGAGCCTTTTTTAGGCTGTCGTTTCCTATATCTTACATTTAGATGGCATATTGCTGGCATTATTTTCGGTGATGAAAAAGTACATGTTCATCGTTGTTTCAATCTAGTATTCTAGTACTATAATATATTCCCTATGGACAATGGACAATTATAATTTTTTAAATTTTTTCACTTTCTCATATCTTGATGTGTTTTCTTTGTATTCTATATTTTTGACGAGATCAGTGGAGTGGAAGAATAGCTCTGCTAAACTCCGCCAAGTAAAATAAAGGCCATTTATTATTATTATTATTATTATCAACACCCAGTACAGGGTATTTTATAGAGTAAATAAATGCTATTCTATTCTATTCAATTTTGTTAGCGAAACATGTTGTGTGTTCAAGAATTTTGTGGAAAGTTCATCGTTTGTGAAATTTTTACATTTGCCATGGATTTCCATCAAGTAACGGCCGAGTCAATTAAAAAAAATACGTCTTCATACCGCAAAAATAGGTGGACCAGAAAAAAAACACTACTCACGTGATGCTGGACGGGACCCTGCGCCATCTGTCCCCCTTGCCCCATCATCCCGTGCGGCCTGAACCCGACCATCATTTGCCCAGCGAACGGCCTCACGTTCTTACTACCATCGAACCCGTGCCCTTGCTGGTATTGCGCATGGCTGTTGTAGAACAACTGCTGCTGCTGCTGGGCCCGCTGCTGGTTCATCAAGTGGCCAGTCGCCTGGTTCATCACGTGGCCGGCCGCCTGGCTCATCACGTGGCCGGCCGCCTGGCTCATCACGTGGCCGGCCGCCTGGCTCATCACGTGGCCGGCCGACTGGCTCATCACGTGGCCGGCCGCCTGGCTCACGGGCACCATCTGGACGGTTTGAGGCCGGCCAGGGCCGGTCGGTTCGTTGGGTTGGCCGTTGACGAATATGCGCTGGTGCAGGTCTTGCGTTTGGACTGTGTTTTGAGGGTCTGAGAGCATGGTGGTGCTGGTGCCGTTGGCTTGCTGTATCTGGTTGATCTGCGGTGGAGAAGATTTTATTTGGAGCGCACGGAAGGGTATCCGTAGTATGGTCGAGGAACATTATGCGTACCAAGAAAGATGATAGGGACAAAAGGTAGGTATTGAAATTTTTCTGAACTCTTGGAGGTTATAACTTCTTGGAAATGCTTCCTTTGACAAAGAATTCTGAAGCTTTGTTATTCTGTTGCCAAACGAGTTCTGGTCCGTTTTAGAATACGGGGTTTCGTACCCAAACATCTGCTGATGATCTTAGTTCATATTATTCAAAACAAAACTGAATGAAGCCCTATAGCCAATAATGATCTGTTGGGAGTAACAACTTGCCCCATCCACAGCTTTGCAGATGATAGTACCCTCCATACTGCGTTCTCTTCCAGAATTCCCATTTCTTCCCAGGAAACTAAGAACTCACGGCGCAGGCAGGTCAATGCTGTCAATGAAGACATTGCTGAAATCACAGCCTGGGGAACCAACAACCTAGTTGAATTCAACGCCACCAAAACTCAAGCCTGTATTTTCTCTAGAAAGGCGGAACTCAGTATGCCCGACATTGTAATGTCTGGCACCACCATCTCCACCAAGCCCACCATATTTATGCTCGGTATTTCCATCAGCAACACTCTTTCATGGGATAATCATGTCAGATCCATCGCGAAAGCTGCTTCACAAAAACTCGGATTCTTGTTCCGTGCGAAAAGCTACTTCACACCTCAACAGCTTCTCATGATCTACAAAGCGCAAATACGGCCTGTTCTAGAATACTGTTCTCACATATGGGGTTCAGCACCAAAACATACGCTGATGCTCTTAGATTCCATACAGAGAAGAGCCATCCGCCTGGTGGGTGACGCCACACTCACTCACTCTTTGACATCATTGGAACACCGTAGAAAGGTCGGCGACCTTTCACTTTTCTATCGATACTTTCACGGGAAATGTGCTTCGGAAATCTCTGCTATCATCCCTCCACTAGCAATACCAGTCAGACGAACTAGACAAGCCCAGTCAGCACATCCTTTCGTTGTCAACCTCGAAAGATGTCGAACAGCACTTTATCAAAACTCCTTCATCCATAGAACGGCTAGGCTCTGGAATTCATTGCCTGAGGAAGTATTCCCAACAACATATAACCTACAGAAGTTCAAAAAAAACTCCAATACCTACCTCCTATCCCTATCCTCCCTAGGAACGCACGATGTTCTTTGAACATTATAGGGATTCCCTTTCGTGCGCTCCAAGCGATAAAAAAAAAAAATTCGTTGTCACCCGGTATACAGGGTGATTCATTTGGAAATGCGCATACAGTAAGGGTAGATGGAGGACACCGAGGTGCTTCTGAATAATCTATATTTCATAGGTTTATCAAACGCGGATGAATAAAATTCTATTTTTTTATTTTCTGTTATGATTAACCTTTAAAATGAAGATTTGTGGCACCATTATTTTTGTTGAAAACAAAGTTTATCATTTTTTCAATTTATATTTTCATAATTGCTGTATTAAATGTAGTGCCATGAACAAATGTTATGATAATACGATCTTACACATTTAAAGTCGTTAGTCATTGATAATAATACGGTCATAGTCATAGTACTGATGATGACCATTTGAATGGTCGAAACATGTCTCAAAAGTAATGAAGCAGAATTGACTGCACATTTCGTTATTAAACTTGTGGAAATGACTTTGAGTTTTTTTTCTCGTTGTTCAAATAATATCTACTAAAATGTTCCTACCTACACCTATCCACTTGAAATGATCCTAGAATACTTGAACAGTATGATGAGCTGACGCTAAATTATTCACATTGTTTGTTATTGATGGTCGATTTCTCAAATAATTAGATCCTCCAATTCCAAAACGTGTCTCCCAAAACTCTGTGGCATAGACACATACGTACCCAAATTGATTAATGACAGTCATGAAGAGATTAACCACAGGCTCGTACTGCTTTAGACCGATTCGAAACTGTCAAAAACTAGTTCGTATTCAACGAAAACACAGAACCTGTGGTGTATGAAACAATACTTGAAAAAACGCGAACAGTATTGTGACACTGCGCATGCTTCTGATGGTTTCGGACTCTTATTTTTAGGTTTTTTCGTGTTCCAAATTGTTGAAAGTGTCGAAACGGTCCTTGGACTGCGCAAAATCAGTTGCGCATCAAATTCAATCCGAAACAGGTCTGGGATAGTTATGAAACCAGATAAACATTTTCACTATTTCTCATCTTTTCCCTCGAAAATTTGCTGTATCTTGACTAACGTGCATCGAGGGCATATTAAGGTTGAAGTTATGATGATGTTAACATGAAACAATAAAATTCAGGACCTAAGCATAAACCTTCCCCACAAAAATATTCCTACACTGACACCTATACAGAAAATGATCCCTGAATTCTCAATCTGACTACATATTCATTCAAAACCATCATTATCCAGAATGGTCTTGAGGATTTTCAGCAGATAACATGTTCAAAAACGTTAAATATCATCTGAAGATAGGACGATGAGCTGAATCTCATATGCCCATAGTAGGAGTCAAGGGTCTCCAGACCAGCCCCACCCCTCCACCCAATCACGTGACTCGGCTAGCCAATCACAGGCCGGCATGGAAGTGTCACGGTATACGGAAATGTTCCGTGACGCTTCCCTGACATTTCCGTGACACTTCCGTGGCATTTCCGTGGCATTTTCATGACATTTCTATGTTCCGTGACACTTCCGTGACAGTTCCGTGCCGGCCTGTGATTGGCTAGCCGAGTCACGTATTTGGGTAGAGAGGTAGGGCTGGTCTGGAGACCCCCGACTCCTACTGCCCATTGTTGATAATGTTGATTGATTATTCTTTAATGATTCCATTCTTCATCATGTTTGGAAGTGCACCTCTCAACTAAGAATGCATAAAGGTTAAAAACCTGTTGCAAAACGCACACGCATCCAAAATTATTTACGACAGTCATAAACAGTTATTGCTCAGAGACTCGTACTGCTTTAGGCCGATTAGAGACTATCCAAAAACTAGTTTTCATAAAACGAAAACACGTGATCTGTGGAATAGAAGATAGTCCGGAGAAAACACTACTTCGTCACTGCGCATGCTGCTGATGGTTTTGGACTGTTGATTTTGTGACTCGAACATACATTTTGTCTACGCGAACAAACCTCCTGTCATGCCGTTATCAGATAATGATCGACATTTGCAGCGGGCTCTCCTACTATGACTGTATGTGCATTTACCAATGTACCACCTCTGGTTCAAAATAGTCAAGAATTATTGAAAAAACCGCCCTACCTGCCCGTGATTGGAGCCGACCATCGACCCCTGAACCTCGACCACCCGCCCGTCCGGCCCAACGATCCGGTGCGACTGGATGTGGGCGGGGCCGTTGCCGGGCCCGCCCGACGGCGCGGCGTGGGCGGCCGCCTGCTGCCCCGCCGCCGCGCCTTCCCGGTAGCGGAGCGCCTGCGCCGCGGGCGGTTCGCCGGGGAAGCCCGAGAGACGGGCGGCCGTCGGCTGCGCGTGCTGCGGAGGGCATGCCTGTGGGGGAGGAACGAGGAGAGATTAGATGCGTGACAATTCGATCTACAGTGTGACCCACTTCTAATGGAAACACCCCTGTATCTCACATAATCGTTGGGTACGGATCCTGTTTGCTGGAGCGAAAGATATACCAGAAATGCACTCTATGACCAAGTGGGGTCATCTTCAGTGATTACACTGTATGCCAACAGCCATGGAACCACCCTAATTTCCGGAAAATGATATTAGGAGTCAAAATAGGTTGAAAGTCCCTTCGGATTCGGAATCAGGTCGCCCCAATTTACTAACTATTCATAGCTTTCCTAGATAATTTTCAGTTCAGAAAAATTATAAATTTTGTCTCACTTCTCATGGAAGCACCCCCGTATCTCATGTAATTATTGAGGTAGGGTTCTGAAATTTTGCAGGAGGAAGGGAAAGTCTAAAGATAAAGCCAATTGAGTGAGATACTGGGGTGCTTCCGTAAAAAAAGCGTCAAAATTCAAATTTTACAGGAAAAATATAAATAGTTAGTAAATTGGGCGTCCTGATTCCGAATTTGAAGTGATTTCCGACCTATTTTGACTCCTAATATCATTTTCCGGAAATAGGGGTGATTCCATGGCTGTTGGCGAGCAGTGTATATCACTGAAGATGACCCCTCTTGGTCATAAAGTGAATTTTTGGTATATCTCTCGCTCCAGCAAATTTCAGGATCCTTACCCAACGATTACGTAAGATACAGGGGTTTCCATTAGGAGTGGGTCACACTGTATGTATTTTGATTTTTCAATGACTATCCCACTTTTGTTCTCGATAACCAATCAGAATCGACCATTTTCACGATTTCTTCTGAATTACAGCGATATATTTTTGTTTACTACATTTTATTGGGCTTGCTCCACCAATACAGAAGCCGAATTAACCTACACGTGACCAACCAACGTCGTTTGTCGACGATAAAATTGTCGACATTTGAAACGTCAATCATGTTGGAAGCCAGAATGATCGGTGCACAACTCTCGCGAGGCGCTCGTTTTTGGTCTCAATCATGAAATATTCATACGAATACAACTCGTGATATCTTTCCTGGAAATATCCGTCGATAGACATTCTCCAGCTCGCTGCTTCGATTCCACTCATGACATGTATCCAAAACTGCTCGCCAACGGCTCGAAAGTTTTGTTAAACAATGTCATTCGCGAAATTATTAGGCAACAAGCTGTCGTAACAATCGCCGAATATTCATTCATAAAGTTGTCATCATATGGGCATGCTTTATTCAACAAAAAATTACTCAGTCCAACAGAAATAATTCAAGCATAAATACTTTGTTGATGCAACAAATCTTTTTTTTCCGTGTATGCAGACTTTTTCGATTATTTTCGATTTTACCTTCCTCTTGGAAAATGAATAACACTGATTTGTAATTCATGTTTCAAATCAAAACTTGATTTATTAACAATTTCAGAGGGATTCCAATCATCTTAGAATGAAATTACGGAGGCATACAGTGATGTTTTGGTTATAATTGGTGGTGATTTCAAATAGATCCGCGGGAATATAGTGTTTGGGTGTCCAATTTATTGTGCAATGAAACCCCAGATTTCGACTCTCTATCTAACCTTGAGAATCTCATCTATGCTCTTGACAATATTTCCGCAAAATCTGCCAATGTCATATCCACCTATACAGAGTGTTTCATTACTAATTGGAAATATTTCAACCATAGAATCCCGAACTCAAAATATGAAGATTTAACCCAAATCACCTAGATAAAATCTAGGTCTACTGTCCTGTGTTTTGTTCAAAAATTTTGAAATGTTTTTTACCTAGTTCTTCTGAACTATTTGACGTATCACTTTCATATTTAGAGGGAAATGTAGGTATTACACATCCAACTAAATTATGTGGAATGAACTTTTATAGCTATTACCAGAGGGTTACGACAGGGGCAATTAACTGGTTGATCCTTCCCAAATTCTACGCCACTGGCGGAATTGCAATTTTATCAGAATTTTTTGATTCTTCAATACCTTCTTCGTGAATATTGTACTCTTTCTCCATAGCGATATAGTCATTATTTTTCGAGATATTTCAAGTTGAACAATTATTTTGATTTTAATGTATATCAATAATGTCGATATTTTGGATCAATGGACTGCATTCATCAATCAAATGAAACTTCAATCCATATTAACATAAAAACATAACAGACGGGAGCTGTTGCAGGGCGTTTTGAATTTTTTAATATATTACATAATTAAACACCCTGTAACAGCTCCTGTCTGTTATGTAATTATGCTCTTATTGTTAATATGGATTGAAGTTTCATTTTATTGATGAATACAATCCATTGATCCAAAATATTGACACTGGGCAAAAAACATTTCAAAATTTTTGAATAAAACACCTAGGTGATTTGGGTTAAATCTTCATATTTTGAGTTCGGGATTCTATGGTTGAAATATTTCCAATTAGTAATGAAACACCCTGTATATGGAACATCTTGACACTCCGTTCTTTCGTGATAAATTTCCTCTCACTATACTTCACTCTGTTTTTTTACTTGACGACGTTTAATTTTGTCTATATTTTTTGTATCTGCCTATAACTTATTTTTTTCTCTCTCTTTATGTTCAATATTTTTACAGGGTGTTTCACAGGTAAAGGGAAATATTTCAATGGTAGATAGAGGTCACCAAGGTGGTTCTGAAAATACCATATTCAATAGGTCTAAGAGTTTTCATAACGGAGATACAGGGCGATTTATCGATTTCGAATAATTATTCATTCGCCTATAAGTATTGAACTACCCAGTATATTTTTCTAAAATTTGGTATGGAGCTTAAACTTGGGACGTTGAATTCATTCACCTATCGGGCGAAGTGAAACTACAGGTTCGGCTTCAGGAAAAATTTACATTCATTCGAAATATTAAAATATCACACTGTATGTAATAATTGACAAAGTTCATCAAAGGAATCGTGAAGAGGAGGAAAAACTGAACTGGATTTGATGCTCTTTGTTTTCCCGCCACCAATTCTCATCGTAACAATCATAAACAGGAAGCTAAAAGTATGTCAATTTCAAGAGTATTAAAATTATGAAACCACTTTCAATTATGATTATTTGATATATTCTTGTTAAATGATCGTTCGAAAGAACTCACTTAGTCTCACAGTCTTTATAACAGAGATACAGGGTGAATTATCACTCGTCCATAAGTGTAATATTTTCTCAAATTTGGTATTGAGCTTACTCGGGACGATGGATTCATTGACCTATCAGGCAGAATGGAAATACAGGTTCAGCTTTAGGAAAAGTCTCATAGTCTTTATAACAGAGATACAGTGTGAGTTATCGAATTATAATTCCGCCTGATAGGTTAATGAATCCATCGTCCCAAGTAAGCTACATACCATATTTGAGAAAATGTTACTGGGTAGTTTTATACTTATCGACGAGTGAATAATTATTCAAAACCGATAATTCACCCTGTATCTCCGTTATAACAACTGTGAGACTTAGTAAGTTCTTTCGAGCGATTTTTTGACTAAAATATATCGAATGATCATAATTGACACTGGTTTCATAATTTCAATACTCTTCAAATTAACATACTTTCAGCTTTCTGTTTATGGTTTTTACGATGAGAATTGGTGGCGGGAAAACAAAAATCATCAAATCGAGTTCAGTTTATCCTCCTCTTCACGATTCTTTTGATGAACTCTGTCAATTATTACATACAGTGTGTTATTTTAATATTTCGAATAAATGTGAATATTTCCTGAAGCCGAACCTGGATTTTCTCTTCGCCCGATAGGTGAATGAATTCAACGTCCCAAGTTTAAGCTCCATACCAAATTTTAGAAGAATATACTGGGTATTTCAATACTTATAGACGAATGAATAATTATTCAAAATCGATAAATCGCCCTGTATCTCCGTTATGAAAACTCTAAGACCTATCAAATATGGTATTTTCAGAACCACCTTGGTAACCCTTATCTACCATTGAAATATTTCCCTTTACCTTTACCTAATATATATAAATAACTATTTCGATTCTTGATGAAGTCGTAATAGTTGTTATTCATGTATCAAAGGCGTAAAATAGGCTTTCATGGACCTTAACGTGCGAGTGATGGAATCAACGTTACCATGGTGAAAGTAAAGTGCCACTTTACGCCCGCAAAACCGGGCGATAAACTGTCACTTTACGCCCGGTCGTGCATAAGGTGGGGAGTGCAAATTTGCAATAATTTTCATCCAAGATTTCAAAGTTGCCCCGCACCTCTTTTCGGGGGGATAAAAGTGGGAAGACGAGTTTAATATCGATGGATAGATTTTTTGAACCGTTGAAAACGTGTTTTTCGAGATATTCCGCCGTTTCCAGACTCTTCGGACACTTTGTATATCAAAATTGTGATAATCACCCATGAATATCAAATTAAAAATAAATAAAACTGAATTATTCGGAATAATTGTGAAGTGATGTTTCGTTATTATTTTTCAAGGTTTATTACATCCAATAAAACCACATCAAACTACCTATACGTTGTTATTGGAGCTATTCTGCATCACAAAGGTGGTATTGATTTCGGTTTGGGGAAATGGAAAACTTTGTCAAACTAATGCAAATAAATATACTTCCTCACCCAATGTTAACATGGGTTCTCACAAAGATAATTTCAACATATTGAAAGACGCGTTTATCTAAAACTGATGCCTATTTACTGAACTTGACTCATATCAATGTGCATATATAGCATTTTTGCATCTCTGTACAGGGTGTCCACGATGAGAAGGTCAATTAGTTAACCTTGAATTCCTTGAACAAAAATGATATCAAGTTTATTAAGTTTGTTGTATCATTTTTCATGTACCCAAATTCGGGAGGTATCATTGGTATCTCGGTAACCATAACAGATACAGAGTCGGTTGAATCATGGTAAAGTTGCGCAATTTGATGCTGATCAAAATGCTGCCTCAAAAGTTTA